CATGAATCAGGCCAGGGGGGAGGGGCCTTTCATTTTAATCACAGATTTTGGGGTTTTTATCAGAGAATTTGTGTTACTTGTTTTGCACCTAGCAGGCACTGATGAGCAGGCATCCAGGTTTTCCGTTTCTCATGGAAAAAACAGAGAAAAGCCTGTATTTTCCCTTTTAATGGAGAAAAAGGTGGATTTTTCATTTTAATGGAGCTGCCCATGGATTTTCCACTTTTGCAAAGAGTTCTCTGCAGGCTGGTTGAGCTCCAGCCTGCAAGAGCTTCTTGCAAAAAGGGCAGCAAACCCTAAGCCCTGTCCCAAGAGGGAGGAAGAGGAGGAAGGGGCAGGGTCTGAGACTGTCAGTCAGGGCTTGGGTCAGGCTCACTTTGCCTCCTGGAGCCTTTGAAGTAAGTGCGGATTACAGGGGGTTGGGGGCCCCCTCTGTCAGGGCTGGGGGGCTGCAGATCTGTGGGGCAGGGGCAGGTGACTGCCAGGGCTGGGGAAGAGCCAGTGGGGAGGTGGGGGGCAGGGCAGGGGTGTATGGGTTGGGGGCTGAGGGAGCGGGGAGGTGTCTCTGGGTAGCCCCACATGGAGGGCTGGCCTGGTCTGATGGCATGTGGACTGGGAGCTATACGCCATCGGGCAGGGTGGGAAGCTGGACATAGAGATACGGAGTTGTGCACCCTCAGGGCAGGCGGGCTCCATGCCCCCATGTGTGGCTTCTCGCTGGAGTGCTAGAAGCCTCACACTGAGGCACAGAGCCTGCCCGGGCTGATGGCGCATGGCTTCTGGTCCACATGCCATCAGGCCAGGCCAGCCATCTCTGTGCCTCCATGTGGGGCTTCCAGTACTCCAGTGGGAAGCTGCCCATGGAGGCATGGAGCCCACCTGGCCCAATGGCACATAGCTCCTGCCTGCACTGCTGTGATCAGCACATGCTGGCACAGAGCCAGTCTGGTTTGGTCTGAAGGCAGGTGTCAGCAGGTCGGGTCAGCTCTGTGCCAGCACATGCAGGCCCTGGGACTCAGCCAGAGGTGTGTGCCACTGGGGGCTCTTCCTGCCGTGGCCTAGGGATGGGAAGCTCTGACTATGGTTGCAGCTGCAGTTGTGGTTCCCGCTGTGGCTATAGCTTTGGCAGTGGCAATGCAGGATGCGGAAGTGGCCTCCACTTCCTCATTAAAGCAGTCCCTGCTGCAGAACTTGGCTGTCCCTTGCTGTAGGCCCCTGGACAGAGCAAAGAGAATAATGTTTCATGGATCTTGTTCCCTAATTCAGATCGCTGTGTGGAAATCTACAAAGGCCAGCCTGCTTCTAGATGCTTGAAAAGGCAATCTGATGGCATGACAACTTCTGCACACAATTTCAAGGAGTAGACCCAGGATTTCTTTCATATTCCTGTGTTCACTCCAAAAGGCATTTTGTAGGGCTGACTAAGAAACTGCTTAAATCATCACCAAAAGGCATTTTGTAGGGCTGACTAAGAAATTTCTTAAATCATCCCCTGCCTCTTCTTGCCTGTGTTCTTTCTCACATTGAGTTTAGAAAGCTTGATCTTTCTCTCCAGCTCAGTGTTTTCCCCCTTGTACTTTCAGAAGTCCAGGCTGCTGGTCCTGCTCCTACCATAGTCTCAAGTCTGTGCTTTGATTCTTGGACATCTGCCTGATTATTGATTTCCTTGCTGAGGTGCCTTCTTCTGAGGTTTTCCTCATTCACTGCTACCACCCTGTGCACAATGACCTTTCAGCCCTTAGATGTGGGAATGATCTGAGCCTCAAGCAGCTTTCCATATTTCTCTTGCCAGATGAAGAAGGCTCTGCTGATGTTGTTGTCAGTGGGGATAAGCACCTGGAGAAACTTGCTAGCACCTGCTTCCTGCTCCATATGGATACTTGTTCCCTCACCCAGGGGCAGAATGGGCTCAAGCTGCCAGACCTGGGACTGCAAGTTTGGCAGCTTGTTGTCTTCAGTGTTTGGGACTAGACAGGGAGGAAGGACAATCAGGGCTGCATTTCTGGGGAGCAAAGCACTCTGAAGCCCCCTTCTGCCGCATTCTTCATCAATATTTCCCTCTCCCAATCCCAGTCTCCAAGCTGCCCAGATCTACCCAGAGCCAGGACAAAGCATCCCAGGGGAGTTTCCCTTGTTCTGTGTAGGGCCAAGTCTGAGGGGTCATTGTCCTACAGGTCTCAACTGGGCTGGGAATCTTCAGATCCAACCCTGTGGTGATCTAGGAGGCCCAAAGGGTCCAGTGATGATTGCCATCAGGAAAATCATGACCCCTCAGGGGTTCCTGTCTTATATATGATGCAAGGCCAGAGGGTACCACTATAGCTCCTGGACTGGTTTTGCTTTGAGCACCAGGGATCTGCCAAGGGGCTCCAAGTGGCTCTATCATCATCCATGGCAAGGTGCAGCAGACAGCAGGTGCCTAGGAATGCCCCAGACCTCCCCACTCCTTGCCCCTCACAACCTCTGGAGGGGCCCTTGCCATCCCCACCATTGGCATCAGGTCCTGGTGACTGCTTGAGCTGGTCATGTGCTGTTTTCCTTGGATAGGCAGACTCTGGCTTCTTTTGCTCTTTCTGCTGGGGCAGCCAGTGGTATGGGGTTGCTGGATGCTTAATGTGCTTTACCTATTATACTGCAGGGCAGCCAGAGGGCCCCTCACTTGGAGACTTCAGCCTCTTAGTGACAGAAATTGCTCCTGCTTTTCATCAGGCCAGGTGTCCTGAAGAGAGAAAAAATAGTCAGAGAGGGGTTCAGTATAGCATATTTTTCCTTCTTGCTTTCTTTTCCTCTTCTGGTTCTAGGTTCAATTTGGGGATTTTTGGTTATAGGTTGAAGGGCTGCTTAGGACAGGCTGAGTAGCTTCATAGAGGGGCATAGAAGAGTTTACAAAGGACTCAGGTTCCTCTGCTCTCGGTCCCCACTTTGAAGGATCGTTTTATGTTCTCTCAGATTTTCCTCTAAAATGCTCATTGCCTAAACTATCCAACAGCCTGCTTTTGGTCAAGGGGATAGATTCCTCTCTTTGATGCCTCCTCTGATTTTGCTGCACCCATGTAGAAGTTCAAACCTATGAAAATGCCCTCTCCTCAGAATCTCTCTGCCAGAGAAAATCATCCCCACCCTTTCCCCAAAGCAAATAGAACAGCTGCAGAAGGACACCAGTTCATAAAGGTGTCACAATGGGACCCTCATGTCATCAAATGTATTACATTA